ACACCTGGGACAATGAGCAGTGGCTGACCAACTTCTGCATGACCCAGGCCACCTTCCAGAACCTACTCTAGCAGCTCCAACCTCACCTGTAGCAGCAGAACACCAGCATACACCTGGTCCTCCCCGCAGACACCTGGCTGGCCATTGCTCTGTGGACCACGTCCACAGTCTCCAGCATGTCAAATACCTGGTCAGCATGGGCAAGGCCACTGCCAGGAAAGCTGTCCTGGAGGTGTGCAGTGCCCTCCTGGATGTGCTGGGGCACACAGTGCTCCGAATCCTCAACCCCCTGGCGGTAGTGGCAGGGTTCCATGCACTGGGATTCCCCTAGTGCATTGAGACCCTGGACAGGACCCACCTCTCCATCAACTGCTCTCCCCACGGAGACCAGCCCTATTACAGCTGCAGGGGGTTTCATTCCATGGTCCTGCAAGTTGTGGATGACCATGGTACATTCACCCATGTGAGTGCTGGCTGGGTAGGCAGTGTGCAGTGTGTTTTGGCACTCTGGCCTGGTTGGACTGGTGGAGAGTGGGTGCTTTGCACTGAGGGAGCTGGATCTCCAGCTGGGCACCATTGCTGTCCTGCCCTGGCTCATCAGGAACCCGGCCTACCCACTCCTCCCTGGCTGATGTAGCCATTACTGCCCACCTGGACCCCCACCAGACCCACTTTAACTGCCACCTAGGCTGGACCTGCACCCTGGTCAAATGCACCTTTGGCCGCCTCAGGGGCTGCTGGCACTCCCTCACCACACACATTGAGGTCACCAAGGAGAACTTCTGCCAGGTCACGTACTGTATAACATCTGCAAGGCTTGGGAGGGAGCTGTTTCACAAGTCCTGGGTGGAGTAGGTGCATGGAGGCCATCTGGCAGCAGGAGCATCACCTGTGGCTGCAGCAGCAGCAGCAGTGAGCCCCCTTCACCCCAGCTGAGGTGCCAAAAGAGTCGTGCACCTGCCAGTGGGGGCCACAGCACCAGGTGTGGGAGGCTTTAGTTGGCCACTTTCTCCAATACTCCCTGCTCTAGGCTGCCTGCCTGGCTGCCCACAGACTGTATATCCACTATCCATCCCCAGCACTACTCTCATGGCAGACATATGTCTGAAGAAGCCTTTATTCCCCTCCCATCACACAGACCACCCCCTTCTTCTTTCCCCCTCAATACACACCCTCCTCCCCACTCAACACATAGAGCCTTCCTCCTGTCACCGCAACATAGACCCTTCACCACCCATCCCCACACCAACAATAAAACACCTTCTTCCCTGTGAAGAAGTCATTTTTATGGCATCCTGGATTGGGGGGGACATGGGGTGGGAGCGCCTAAGGGGCACAGTCCAGGGGCAGGCGGCCAGAACCATGGTCTCTGGCTAGTCCCCCACAGGTTCTCTGGTATGGGCAGCTCCTCTTCTGTCAGGTGCTGTCCATGGCCAGCAGGGCTGTTGTGTATTCCCGTCCCCACTGCTAGATTATTCAGCTCTGTGCCCATGTGGAGCTGAGGCAAGCGGCGGGCCTGAGTGGCAGTGGACCTGGGGCAGGGGCTGGGCCAGGAGCTTCTGCCAGCTGTACATGCCTCAGGACCTTCTCCCAGGCCCAGGCAGGGTCCTGCTGCAGGGTGGCCTGCAGCTGCTAGGGGGCCTGTGGGGCTAGGAACAAGGGCTGGGCAACAGTGGGCAAGAATGAGACTGCTAGGCTCACAATGGTGTCCTGACAGTTTTCATCCATGGCCTGCAGTGCACAGCACTGCCCAGGATGGTGTTTTGCTCCCGCAGGACCTGAATCCATGGTGCACCTCTGGCAGAGCTGACACATCCGCAGGGCCCCAGTGGTGGGCACCAGGGACCCTGACTGGCATCCCTGCTGGCAACTCTGGCCTCTCCCACACGTCCAGATGCTGGACCTGCAGAGCCATGAGACAGAAGCCTTTGTGGGAGTTTGCAACATTTCAGAGATAAGATGCTCTGTACCAGAGGCCATGCACTGCCTGGCCTCAGATTGGGGGTTGGCTGTGCATGGGTGCCTGGGAACCATGGTAAATCAGGCTGGGCAGGTCTGACCCAGGCAGCTGCTGGCCGAGCCCCCTGTCCCTGTGCTCCCCTGGGGCTGGTGGCCTGCTGGGTGCTGGCCACAGGCAGCCTGCCTCCCCTGCCCCATCCCCAGAATGGGATAGGCAGCACCTGATGCTGTGGCTCCAGGCCCCGCTCCCCCATCTCGCCCCCTACAAGCCCAACCACTCTGCTGTGCTGCTGCCTAGCCCACAGCCCCTGGGCTGGAGGGGATGCAGGGCTTCTGGAGAACTGGGATGAGGAGCTGGCCGTGTCCCTGTTCTCTCCACAGGGTCTCTCTGGGGAGGTGCCCCAGGTCCAGTCTCATGCTGTGCTGCTGCTACACCCTAAGCATGCCCCTGCTGTGTTTGCCGCAGGTGGTGCGCAATGAGGTGTTTGCACAAACTGAGGGGTGCCCAACCTATTACACCCTGCTGCTGCTGATGGTGATGATGATCCTTCTAGTGCCCTGAGTGCACCTGTATTATTGGTTTGGGACCCTGAGCTACAACAGCGCAAGAGGCAAGTCTGGGTTGCCCTGCAACCTCCGCTGCTGCCTGGAGGGGCTACCTGTGGCAGTGCTATACATCCCTGCCCCCTGTAGCTGAGGATATCGTTGCTGCCATCAGTGTGTTCTTTAGGTTTTGAGAGACCCATGTCTGCCCTGCTGTGGGAGCGTGGGTTGCTCAGTAAATTTTTGCATTGTCCTGCTTCTCTGTGTGCTGTGGGGGAGAACCCAGTGCCAGGGGAGGGTGGGTGAGCCAGGCAGGGAAGGGGGCCAGGGGCCAGGGCAGGAAGGGTCTTCTCCCCCCACAAGTGCAGGGCTTACCATGTGTTTGGGGCTGGCGTGGCTGGTGGCTCAGTGCAGTCTTCCCAGCTGGTGACCGCATGCAGCTGTGGCCAGTGTCCTCAACCCACCAGGCACAGTGTGGAGGTTCCCAGCTGCCCCTCCCCCCCAGGGAGGAGTTGGCATTGCTGGCAGCTGGTGGTGTCATAGCTGGCCATTTCTCATGGCTAGCCCTGAGGCTACACAGCTGGCGAAGTAGGTGCTGGCCAGGGGTCCCTAAGCTGCTGGTGGAGGCTGCAGCCAAGGAGCTGAGCGGGACAGGGTGCTGCATGCCCAAGGGTCTCTCTTCCAGTGACGTGTCACCAGAGGGGCCAGGCCAGGGCGGGGGCTTGGGCAGGCCACCTGTGCTTGTATACACCACACGGTTGTGGCCTGGGTTCCAGGGTGCTGCTGGTCAGCTGCTACATAAAGGGTATGGTGTTGTGGGCACAGCCAGACTGACAGTTGTGGCCTGTCACAGTGACCCACTGTGCCTGCAAGGCCTTGACCTTTATGAGGCACTGTTGCATTGACTGGTTGTGCCCTCGCTCCCTCATCCAGCCTGGCAAAGCCTCATAAATTTGGGCATTGGAGCACCCGCACTGCTCAAACTGGTGCAGCACCTCAGCCTCACCCCACAGTGCCATGAGGTTGTCAGTCTCCTCCTGACTGCAGCTGGGGCCCTGGGTGGAGGGCACGGGCATGTGCATGTGGATGTGTGTGGTCTTGGGCCTGGATGGGGAGGATGATGCCATGCTGGGTCCCATGCCAGCTTTCTGGGCCCCCGCACAGCTGTCCCAGTGTTGCTGGCCCCGGGCAGCTGCCAATAGTGCCCAGTGTAGGGGCATGGCACAGGACTGGAAGATCCAGGGCAGGCTGCTGGGGATGGGCTGCAAACAGATGGTGCTGGCCCTACTGCCCAGAGGCTGCCTGGCCCTGGGGGCTGACAGGACTGGTCAGGGGCTGCAGCATCCTGCAGCACCTTCAGCACCTAGCTGGCCCCAAAGGCACTGCCCTGGGAGCTGCACAACAGTACAGTGCTAGGGAGCGGTGCTGGCAGGCAGACAGGTACAGCAGGGCTGTGGCCTGCCCAGGGAGACATGGGCTGCAGTGCCCTCAGGCTGCCTGTGGTGTGCACCCCAGGCCACAAAATGTCTGCAGGCTTTTATAGCCTGCAGACAGGGGCTGCCATAGAGGCAGCCCAGCCCTGGAGCAGGAGAGGCTCCCAGCCTGCCACACTAGGGCTGGCCATACATGGCAGCAAATTTGCTCCTGGGTCGTGTCTACATGTGCATTACTGCCTAGTAACTAATCACGCTTAAATGTGCTACCTGCATATGTCACCTGCAAGTAGCAAATTTAAGCATGATTAAGGGTTTTCACTGTGCAATAGGGGTGTGCACATGTAGACGCACATGCTTACTGTGCAGTAATAAATCTCATGTAGACACCCCCCTGAGTGCAAGATTCTTCCCAGGACTCTCCATTTTTCCTCCCAGCTGATGCTATATGCCTTTTTTGCATATAAGAGAAGAAAGATTAGAGCTGTCATGCATTAGAAGGCATAAATCAAGTGAATGGTAGCAAAATGGTAATGGTTTGATATGATGGGTCTTGGCAAGAATACTGGAATTTTAAGGCATATAATTTTCCAGGGGTTTGTCACAAAAGTTATGTTACATGTGGGACATGGTGCAAAGGTCCTTGATTATGGGTTAGTCACCTGTTTTGCACATGTGTATAAGAGACTGTGCCCTGCATATTTTGCAGTGTCCTACAAACTATCAAATGTACAAAATGTTTTAGCAAGAAATAAAAAGGAGTTAAGGAGCATGAGGCAAAGGCATGGAGAAGATATGTTCAGCAAACAATTTTAAGAGATGAAGAGTAGATGAAGATAAAAAATACAGAAACACTCTCAAGTATTGGTAAAATTGTGTGAAGTTGCCAGAGGAAATGATGCTAATAGAAAAGTGAGGTGAGTGGATCAGTGAGGTACACTTGGGTTAGTTAATGGGGTGTGTGTGTGTGTGTGTGTGTGTGTGTATTAGGAGAGTCTAAAAACAGTGATAGAAATATTGAATTGTCCCCGACATTGGTACTTACTGTTGGATTTTTCCATTTAGCACCTAAAAGTCCACTTCAGAACCGTCTCCTCTTTCACCTGGCACATAAGGTATGTTTGTCTCTTCTTTGCCCACATTTCCTTTTGGTTTTTGAATTTCATTCTGGTGTTGGTTGCTAGATCAATAGCCTGGCAGGACAAGTATGTGTAGCACTAGCAGAACAGAACTTCCAAAACCCAACCCTACTGCATTATTCTGACTAAAAGAACTATCTCTTAGGTGCAAGAGATACTCAAAATAGGCCCTTGTCCAGTAGGATTAAGAGTGAGACCTATCAGTTCACTCCATGCAGACCAGTTAACAATGGCCTGATAGTATTTCTGACCATTGAATTCCATGACTTAGTTTGAACCAGGAATATGGAAGGATAGTTTGTGCATTTCCATTCTTCTAAGAATATTGGGCTTGAATATTGAATATTAGCTTGAAACTATCTTGGAGCCAACAACTTTGGTAAAAAGATCTATATTCTGTTACTAGTCTCTTGAGTGATTTGCCAGGCACAATCTTGTATCTAGCAGGGAGGTTTGATTTCTCTTCAGCAGCGATAAAAACACTGGTTTCTTTTTTTTGCATATCGGTATCTTGAAGATTAATGAAACTGAAGGACTTGGCCTGTATTATCCAAGCCCACTAGGAAAAGTTCCTCTGTTTTTAGCCTCTTATTTAGATTACTTTTGTGCTATAAATAGAGCATGGTATCTGTTTTGACTAACAAGGAAACTTTTATCTCTTTGGCACAACATACTTGTGAAGAAATAGCTGTCAGTTTAGAAACATCAAAGTTAAGGGAACAGGCACATGACGATGGGGGGGTTTCCCCCAAAGTAAATGTGTAGATAAAATTGGATTGTGTTTCAGACTGGTGTTTTCAAACTTGAAAACAGAATGCGTAAAATGCTGCTGTTTAAAATTCTATACAGCAAATGTATTTAATATTATAGAATCATCAGGATGAAAGAGTCCTCAAAGGTTATCTAGTCCAGGCCCTGTCGCTGCTGTAATTTTTTTTTCTTTTGGTCAGACCTTATTAGCTAAGCAGGGTCACTGAAAACCCAGGTAACAGCTACCCAGGTAGTGGCATTTATTGTTCACACTGAGATTCAACAAAGCACTCAAGCATATGTCTTACTTAAAGTGCTTTGAGTGGTCTATCAGTCAAACATGACAAATAAAAAGGTGATTATGAGCACATGCTCTGCATTGTGACAGACAAGCTACATATATCTTAAAATTAAGCAACCTATAATTAAAGTCCTTGCCAGACATTAATATAATTGTATGATTGGGATCAGAGGAATTTTATGCTCATGTATCCTGCAGAAGTGCAGCCCAGGATAAGGGAACTAGATCTCCTGTGCAGGGTTGCATGGCTTGCCTTTCAAGTTGCTGGCAGCCACAGAGCTGGGATCTGAGGAATATTAAGTATGCCTGATCCCAAAAATTGTGTGTCCTTCCACGTACATCTGGCATTGCAGAACACACAATTTGGGGGATCAAGTATAAAACTCCTGATCCCAGTCACATAAATGTATTAATGTTTGCCAGGGGCCTTAATTATATGTTTGCTTAATCTTAAGATATACTTAGCGCACCTTTGTCACAATGTAGAGCATGTTCCACATTAAATGTGGCTTGATTATATCATACTTGGGAAGCCTGTTCCTGCCATGCCGGTGAGATGCACAAATGATCTGTGTCCATCATGAATTGTACAATAACTGTAATGTCTGCCAGGGGCCTGAAGTACTGTACTTTGGATCAGGGCCAGAGTAGGTAGTATTATTTCCTCTGGATCCATATTCTGTCATGTGCTAGGATCAAGTTTAAAGGGGAATTGTGTAGCTAGAGAGGCATTTTTTGGATGAGGACAAACCCAGGTCCTGGCCATGTATAGTCATTAAAAATGTCTTGGCACTTTTTGCAAGAGGAATGCTAACCTTGGAGTCCCAGCCAAATTCTAATATGGATGGTCACCTTTTAAATACCTAAATCTCCTTGCAAGTTCAAGTGGAGACCTAATTATTCATTTGACAGCTGAAAAGCTGTTGTGTAATGATGACATTGGCACCCAGAGGTGTCTGTTTGGAAACTTCTTTTGTCAGTACTGAACGGTCCTTTTTATGGGCAGCTCAGGCAAAAAGGAAAAGAGGTAAGATATAAGGATGAGCAGCTAGAAATTTTAAGTAAGAAAACCTACCAATTTTTTTAAAAATATGCCTAAGTGTCTCTTCCATAGCCCATTTCTGACAGCAGTAGAGGTTTATAACTACCACTCTTAGCAGCTATATATCTAGTAGAGGGAAACATTGGAATGGTAAGTGACTTGAGCATACTAATTAAGTGGATATTCTTGGCTGCTTTAGAATCTTGATACAGTTCAAATTTGTTGGTTACAAAGAAAACTTGTCAGAACTGCCAAAAATTACGAGAACCATCATCTTAGTAGGTTGTTGGTCTGATAACGTGACTTTTTTCTGGCCCCAAGAACTAAGCTTTGAATCAAAAAGTAGCAAAACTCTTCTCTAGCTCAACTGATCATTGTGAAACCTTATTTTCTAAAATTATTTTGACAATGGTATATCTAGTCCACCCCTTTCTCCCCATGCATCATGGCAAATAAGATTTAATAGTTCTCAAATCATGCCTGGTAGGGATGTGTATTTTGTTTCTTATGTTCTTCTGGTGAGGGGTGTTTTACCTCTTTCTCCACAGCATCCATTGGCCAAACAGGTCTGAATAGAAGAAAGTTTTCTCTAATTTCTAACTGGAATCTTTGAACTACAGCAGAAATCTCACTTGCTGATTGATGTGGCTAACTGTTTTCTTATCTGAACTCTTCTGGAGGGTGTCTGTTTCTCTCTCTTAGTTCAGTGATGAAAAAAAACTGATGAGCTTCCACCAGAATCTGCAGGATATTACAGAAGATCAGCTCAGCTTGGCATCTATCCATTACATGCGGTCCCACTACCAAGAAGCTATTGATATTTACAAACGCATACTTCTTGATAATAGGTTGGTGTCTGTCTCTCTCCCCTGTTAGAACCTCACTTCATGTGTTGTACTTGCATTCCATGTAGTTGCTTGGATTCAGACAACTGTTTGTGGTAGGTTTTATGCTTTTGTCTGTTCTTCTGTGAGAAAAGTACAGTACTTCCCTCCTCACTTTATCACTCTATTCTAAACCATTATGCCAATTAAATGTAGGGGGAAAATGTCCACCTTCATTCACCTTGTAATATGCTTCAATCTGTGACCCATCACAAGTCTTTTCTTTCTTTCTTTTTTCTTATGAAAAGCTACAGAATTGCAAGCAGAGAATATGTTGCCCATATCTTTTTTGCAATGCAAAGCTGTAGACAGCCACTTAATTTTTCTGCAGATTTCCTACCTGAAAATTCTCAGTTTTAGTTTTTGAATTCTACTGAAAGCCGGGGTGTGGAAGAGAAGGCTTCAGTCTCACTTTTACTCTGGAGTTCCTTTGTGTTTCTCTCAGGCTCTGAGGAGTCTTCCCATTTACATTTATTCTGTTACAACTGCTGACCTGAGGTTCCATATTATAACCACTAAACACTCAGGTCAGGAGTGGAAAGAAATCAAACCACTTCTAAGTACATGTGGGGGTGCTTTTTGAGCCATTCAAAGCACAAATGTCTTGGTATGCTCTCTCTATAGTAGTCTCTTTGGCCTGCTGGTCTGGGAAGCAATGATCCAGAACTCAAAGAAGGACTTGGAAGAGTAGTTTCTATTTTGTCAAAACAAGCAATAGTCTTTCTGGAGTGTTAAATGCTTCAGAGCAGTGTTTCTCAACCTGTGGGTTGCAGCCCAAAAGTGGGTCACAAGAATATCTGAAAGGGTCATGAACAGATATAAAAAATGGATCAACAAACTTTTTAAAAATGTGTTCTCCTTTAAAGGAGAAAAAAACGTGGCTTTTCCCTTGCAGACTGACAGTTCCAGCCTGCAAGGGAATGCTTTGAGCTCCCCCTGTCCCCCACACACCCACCCCCTGCCCCATACACTGGTGTGTGGGGCCTAGGGGCAGGGGGCAGTGGGTCAGGAGGAAGGGGTACTGTGTTGGGACTGGCCATTGACATTTACAAATGGGTCCTGGCACAAAAAAGGTTGAGAACCACTGCTTCAGAGAAAGTTGAAATGCCATTGTAATATGTATAGTGCAGTTCTATGCTATGGGAGGAAATTTCAGCTTCAGTCCTTGGGTAGTGATCAATTTATGTCCATGATGATTACAACATGAAGTTTGTAGCATTCATAACATTTGACAAAGGAGGCTATTGCCTAAGATAGCTTATGCTTTTCTAAATGAACTAGTTTACCTGCCCTGCTTTTAACATGTTTGTGATGGTTATCCTAGTTGTTGCTCCTGCAGATTCTTTTCTTATTCCTAGAAATGTTTTGTTCTTTTTGGCTTGATATCCTGCAATAATGAGTTTGAGAGGTAATTATGCACAATATGAACATAAATAAAAAAATGTCAGTAAGTTTCTCTACCCATAGAATATATCTATTAATAGAAAGCAAACAACTACTTTATGTGTATTATGTTTATGAACCCTAGTTGATCAGTCCAAATGAAATTATTACATTCTCCCTTCATTTAAGGTTACTGTGCACTCCCAGAATAATAAGTCCCAAGATTCAGAGGTCAGTCATTTGACCTGTGAAAGCAGGTCAAGCACTAATAGTAGAAAGAAACCTGTTCTTGCACGTGGCCCTAAATAACGTGATTTTTGTGTGTGTGTGCAACAGAAACTAGATCTGGAAAGTTGCACACAAAGCTGTTCTCAGAACCCCCTATTTTGTGGTGTTTGTAAAGGGTGTTGTAGAAAACAAAAAAGAATATCTAGTTGCTGTTAGTATTCTTTGCAGCATAATCATTTGGCAGGAACTCAAAGCTTTGGTGAACACTTCCTCTTTTGCCCTGCAGGGAGTACCTGGCTCTGAATGTTTATGTGGCTTTATGCTATTACAAGTTGGATTACTATGATGTGTCTCAAGACGTATTGGCTGTTTACCTTCAGCAAGTTCCTGACAGCACCATTGCTCTTAACCTCAAGGCTTGTAACCACTTCCGACTTTACAACGGCAAGGCTGCTGAGGTAACCATTGGAAAGCTCTTCTGGCTTGTCAGTTTCATTCAAGGTCCCACACTCATTTCTCCCCTTGTAGTCTCTTATCTATCTTGTGCTTAATCACAGTGGTTGACAATTTGTTTTTATCATGTCACAGTGGCCTTTGAGGGATGTCAGCCACCTCTAGTCTACACATTCTCAGCACCAAGGTTTTCTGTCTGCATGCTTACCTTGCCATTTTCCAAGACCATTTTTTTTGTCCTGCTTTTGTACAAATGTATCAGGGTAAAGTGGGGAGGTGACTTTTTCCATCAACCAGTTTATCACAGCTGGATATGAATACCTCTTAGTTTCAGCAGTTGTGTGAACTGGCAATGAAGGGTATTTTTTGTTTGTTTTTGGCTAAGCTTTTTATGTATGATTTCAGGCAGAACTCAAGAGCCTAATGGACAATGCCTCCTCATCTTTTGAGTTTGCGAAGGAGCTCATTAAGCATAATTTGGTGAGTTTTACTAGTATGCCTCAAACTGTGGCCTGGGGAGCTGTTCTTGGTAGACTGCAGGGTGAAATATTCTGGGGAATTTTGGAGGCAGGGTGTGAGAGGTGAGTTGGTGAAATGTCATCATGTCTGTAGCCATGGCTCTTCTCAATATGTCTCCCAGTTTTTTATTTAACTTCATCTTCTGTTATTTTGCATTGTCAGAATGATACCATGTCATGAAAAAACAGTGTTGGTTTAAAGTGCTGCATACCTTTCAAGATTCTTGGGGCAACTTAGTCAATACCTGGATGGTGGTAGATGCCTTACCCTGAACTTTGTTGTTTAACCAGCATACAATGTCAGTGGAATTGAAGCTCAGGCTAATGGTCTCCATTTGCAAAGTAAATAGCAAGAAGTTCATGGGAGGCACACACTGAGACAAAACAAAAATATTTGCCTTTTGAAGCAAAACAGAAACTGATCATTTGACAGAAGTCCATTGCAGTAGTTTTAGCATTATTCTAAATTACCAGTGCGTATAATAGTGTGTTTCTATTTGGTGGAGTTGCTTACTTTCCATATACCAAAAATGCATATGACAATCCACTAGCCCAGCAGTTCCCAATCTGTGGTACGGATACCACCAGTGTTATGCAGACAACCTGTCAGTGGTAGCGCTGCGTTAATAGATTTATTATAATTACTTTATAGGACAAATTTGCTGATGGTACTTAAGGTTGTATCATTTTAAATTGGTGGTGTGTAATCTGTCAGAGTTTGGGAACTGCTGCACTAGCTTTATGGGAAATAAACTAATGACTAGTGATGGACTGGTCAAAAAGGTAGATTTTGTGGTTCAGCTAGTTGCAACAAGCTTAATCATAACTTTTCCCTAACATATCAGGCATTCAAAAGTTAATTCTGGTTTTAGATTGGAAAAATGAACATTTTATGTAATTTTATTCTGCTTTCTTTGTAAATGACTCAACAGGTGATAGTCCTTTCTCCTAAGTTCTGAAACCATGTCCTGAATACTGTTGGGGATATTATTATGTAAATTTGAAACCATTATTACTTTTGTTTAAATTATCCCTAGTATTCTTCACAAGTCTAGGGTTATTAGCCCTAATATTTTAACATAATTTCAGCTTAATAAAATTGTAATTGCCCAGCTGTGTTTCCCTTGTAGCTTCAGTTCAGGTCACATCCTATCTAATTTGTCTAACACTGTTATGTGTGGTCTTGCTTTTAGTTTAGTGGATTAGACTATTTTGAGGTGAAGATACTTATAATTACCTCACGTTATTAAAATTACTAATAAATAGGGATTCAGCTAAAGCCAGTTCTCTTGATCATAGCTGATCATTAATATAGGAATTCTAAGGCTGATTGCAAAGCCAGAAACAGGAACATACTATAGATGTTAATAAGGTGGGTACTTCCCTCTGCAGGTGGTGTTTCGAGGAGGAGAAGGGGCTCTGCAGGTTCTTCCTCCCCTGGTTGATGTTATTCCTGAAGCCAGACTGAATCTAGTGATTTACTATCTCCGTCAGGGTAAAGAAATCTCTCTCTGGCTCTTTCTTGGGTGCAGGAGGTGGAACCCTTTCTCTTTCTGTGACACCTTTTCACCTGCTCATGCCTGGTCTTCCACAAATATATGTATTTTTAGCATTGCTCCTTAATGTGTTTGACTGATAGCTTTATGAGAAATAAGCTAATGGCTTATACATTTTTGGTGTCTGGAGAAGGGCCAGCTGTAAGTGTCTGAACAAATCTACTTTGTCAGAAGATCAGAAGTCCTTTTTTCCCCCTTTGCACTGGCAGAACACCCTTAACTGAGCTTGTTAACATGGAGCAGTACCTCATTAGAAGACAGGATTCCCATCTGGTCTATAAAAACTATTTTTGTAAATGTAGCATAAGCCGGCTGTGAACTAAAGTAACAAGAAACAAGGCAGCACTGTGAATGAGACAATACATTCCAAACACATTTTCTAACAGTTGAATAATGCAGGTAGGTGGTCCTGGGCAGCAGGAAAATCTCCAATGTTTCCAAGTTATTTGCTTCCAGGCTATTCTGTATCTTTCTATTTGTATTTCAGTCCTACCACTAGTTAAAAAGCCTTCTCTCTTCCCCTTCTACTCCTCACTGCTGTGTTCTTCCATTCACCAGTGGATTGATTGATTGAGTTGGTGTTAACTGCAGCCATCTAATGTAAAGGGATATGGTGATTCCTTTTCCACCCAATGCCTCCCTTATTCATGGTATTGTCACACCTTTCTGTGACCAGCTGTTTAGATCTGGGTACTTGAAAGCAGTTAATGTTATCTCCTTAATCTTACTCAGTCCCACTCAGTAAGTTTTGTTGCATTTCAGAGAATGTTTACTGTTTTAGCTTGTACCCTACTGCTCTGCAAATGTTTGTTCTTCTTAGATGAAAGAAATATAGTCAGAAAAACTTCAGACTTATTTTATGTGGAGAAATAAACCACACCCTGAACTTTTCATGGTAAATCTCCCAATATGTGCATGAGTAACTTTAAAGAGCAACTTTCAAAGAGCGACTCACAAAGACACTTCCAAGGACCCAGAGGGACAGACTTCAGCTCTCTCTGTGCAAAAATGAAATGTATTTTCTATGTATAGGGACTTTTTACGATTTTTAGTTTTCCCTAAGCCTGAGGAAGGGCACGTGTGCCCAAAAGCTTGCAGAAAAAGATTTTTTGTTTTTGCGATTTCTTAGTTGATCTAATAAAAGGTATCATCTCTGAACCAAGAGTTCTAGAGTTTTGCATTTCTTTTTTTTGTCTCGGACCAACACGGCTACCAAATACACCCCTGAGTAACTTTAAAGATGTAACAGAGGGGAAAAAGTTCAATGCACCTTTTATAGCTTGTTTATATTAACTCTGAAGCTTGAAATACCTATTTGGGAAGACAGTTTTACTAATAAGGTTAATGCAATTTAAACCTTTTTGAGGATTCCTTTTAAATCTTAAGTTACTTTTTTTGTATATCAGGCTGTCTTGGGCTATATATCCAATCTGAACTTTACTTGCTTACTTTTATGAATCATACGTCATGTTTTCTATGATCCTAGCTGGATATAAATCATGTTATGGCATATTGTTCAGTAGAACCTCATCAATCTCTACAAATCTGCAGTCACATTACTTTTCACAAAATGTGGCAATCTTGCTCCATTTTATTATTTAAAAAAATAATACTAGAGAGCAACAGTAAAGTCTCAGGTTATGAAAACTTTACAACTTTTACCAATTGTGGTACAATATTTTTAATAACAAACTAATAGTACTCACTACACAAGTGTTTTTAAATTTATTAGTACATGCCTTTTAGGTGAAAATTCTGCCTTCACTGTAGAGTAAATCTGACTAATATGTACAAAGGAGAGGAATGGAGTGAAGATTGTTAAGAATGGAAGGGGGGGGGGGAAAGGGGGGCCAGGAAGAAACCTTAATTGACTATCCTTAATTGACACAACTGAGTGCACAAAACTTTTTATATGTAACTTGCACCAGCAAAAAAAAAATCCTGTTGATGATTTAGCCTATTTTGTATAGGGAACTATTTTTAACCTGTACTGACAAAAGAATTCTTTAGTGGTACAGTTAGAATCTGCAGTAGGTAGTTTGGCTTTTACTAGGAAGCCTTAATGTTGAAAGATCCTAGAATTCTTTAATTTAGAATGTATTAGTGCGTGGAGTTAAATTCCTAAATTAACTCTTATATTAACAAAGGTTTTTTCTTGGGAGATCTGGGATCAGGTAGAGTAGTTAACCAGATGTTGAGCTCTTAATTAAGAAAATGTGAGGGGTCTTCAGAAGCAAATAACCTCTTCCCCTGTCCTCTCCGAAGGGAGGCATAAATGTGGTTGGGAGAGAGAAAGATGAGGGATTTATTATCTTGACCTTGTACTATTGAGAAGGCAGGCACTGAACTATGAACAAGGGGCCAAGTCATCTCTGTATGAGGAAAAATGTAGTAATAAAGAACCTATTACTCAATCCATGTTTGTAATTCAGGCTCCAGCAGCCATCATCAGCAAGATATAAATTTACACCAATTTATAGTCCTCTTTCTCTTCCCCTCCAAATACTTTCCCTGGCTGTGACTGTGAAGAAATGTTGTGGGGAATGAGTGATTTGTTTGAGTACAGGGTGTTATAGTTTGTCATGCATTCTAATGTCTGATATTTCAGATGATGTTCAAGAGGCTTATAACCTGATTAAGGACCTGGAACCTGCAACTCCACAGGTAATTGGAAGCTTATGGAATTGTTCATGAAGGGAGATGCTTTAAATTGGGGTGGAATCTGCCATATACAAAGAATATACAGTGGGTGCTTGCATCCTTCCCACATGTAATATCCTGTATCTGTCTGTCTTTCAGCTTTTATTGGTGCTAACACTTTGGGTAAAATTCTGTATATGAAGTTTTATATATATAAAATGTACATGCTATATATACTATTTATTATTTAATATATTTATTACAGTCATTCCTGGAAGATCATTTGAAACCTAGTTTCTGTTAAGTACAGTCCCTGCCCCAAAGAACTTAAGTCTTACAATCTAAACACAGGCACAGGGTTGAGGAACAAGAAAGGTAGTTAACCACATAACAAAGGGGTATATTGTTGGAGGGAATAGTTTGGTGGAGGAGCATATAGCTTCAGATCAGGAGGTCCCTGGTTCAAGGTGCCCCTTTTCTGGGAACCAGTGGAAAATAGGTGAGGCTCTGTTCCCCCAGGCAGCACCTGGGTTAACAAGGAATAATGGCCACAAATTGATTGAGAACAGTTTTGATATCAGGCATTACTTTATGGTTAGGGCTGCTGGGCTCTGGAATGGGCTCCCAAGGGATGTGGTGCTCTCCCCTACCTTGGGGGTCTTCAAGAAGAGGTTGGATAGATATCTGGCTGGGGTCTTATGATCCCAGCACTTGTTCCTGCCCAGGGCAGGGGTTAGGACTTGATGATCTATTCAGGTCTCTTCTGACCCTAGAAATGATGAAACATTAGTCTGAAGTCAGGCAGAAGGCAAGGCAGGGTGGCATCTTAAAGACTAACTCATTCAGAAAGGCATAAGATTAGAGGGAAGTGATAGAACATAAAAGGATAGAGAATAATACAACAGTGGTAAACTGTACTGTTGTTTTTGGCAGTTGTATTTTTTTCAAGTTTTGAAATAAAGTCTTGAAGTAGTTTCCAGGAGATTACATTGGGATTAGCTAGGTGGAAAAGCAAAGAAAAGCAGGGATAAGGGAGAGTTGTAGCAACCACCAGCCAGCATAGGCAGGAAAATGCACTGAGTAAAAACTACAGTATCCCTTGGTTCATGTTTGAACTGCTTTCTACAGGTGCCCTGCTGGCTTCAGTCTCTGGTTGGCTCTTCCCTGTGGTTTGTTTCTGAAAGGTCACAGAGCTGGGGTTGAGAGGAAACATCTTATGGGTCTTTGAAGTAATAAAAGGGGAGTCCTCCATGGTACTGGGTTGAGGTTTATTGAGGAAAGGAATTGCCTCAGCTCAGTTCATCATTGTTATACCCTCCTCTGCACTTCTTAGTGTAGCAAGACTTACCTGAACTGTTTTCTGCATCTGCAGTGCTTTTAATCTCTCATTTTTCCCCTGTGTTTTTTCTTTCACAACATACAGCTGCTCATACATTGTGTAAATGCCATGGTGGCATCCTCCATTGCCTGCTCACTAAATTTTGAAATGAGCACCATTGTGCTTTTCTTGTGTGCTGTCCCTCTTGGTTTGGGGAGTTTCAGAAACACATTTGCAAAACTAATACATATCCTCCTTCAGAAACCTTCTCAAACAGCACCTTTGCCATGATGCTTACAAAAAACTTGACAGCAGTTAGGCAGCTGGTATGCTGAGACAATCGCTTATCACGCTGATCAATACAGTTATTGTTTCTTATACCTGTTTTGGGCTGTATCTAGCTGCTGCCTCTTGTCTTGTACTTAGATGATAAGATTTTTGGCCAAGGATTGTCTATTTATATATTGTTTGCCACAGAGGGGGGTTCTTGACTAATGCTCTAAGGCAAGGGTACTCAACCTCTGCACACTGGCCAAAATGCGGCCCACAGAGCCTTTGCATCTGGCCTGCAGGGTTCCCCATGGGTTGGGAAATTTGGTGGTGGGGGAGCAGTGGCCACCCCCCACCCCCACTACCAAATTTCTACACCTCCTCCCCCGGTACAGCTGGGTTGGGGCCTAGCCATGCCCCCTTTTCCCCACACCACCAGGTTGGGACCATCCCTTGAGCCCCCCTCCCCTCCTCCACCTGTGCAGCCAGATGGCACCCTGCTGTGCCTGTTCTGGGTGCTGGATCAGGGCCACTGGCCACATCGGGGCCATGGATGGACTGGGCACTACCCATCTGGACTACCAAGGAAAAAGGTTGAGCACCACTGCTCTAAGGTGTTAAAATAATATGAATAAATGCAATAATAGTCTCAATGTGAACAAGAGAAATACCTATTTTAGATCCTGAGGAAAGGTTATTTGGAGAAAGGTTTAGATGATGCAGTGGCTAAATTTCTTGGGACCTGCATATATACAACTGACAACATTACTGAGAACTGACATGAGTAGTGAATTATATACTCTTTTTCTTAGACAGCCTCTGTTTGAGTAATGCAGGTGGTGTGGTTGTGTGATCTGTAAGTTAGACTGCAGCAGCAGATCATCCCAAACTTAGGCTGCTATTCCATAGTAAGGCTTAGCTAGTTGTGTTCATATGTATCGTGTCTGTTAACTGTTAGTGGGTATGCTGCAAATGGTATGAACATAATTTGAAGTAGCAAAACTGTGAGTGTTTTGTAGACAGTTATACATTAGTATCAGTACATCTCTTTTCCCATGCTACCACCATTCTGTGTTGTGCATGTACTAAATAATGTCACAGGAAAAATATTTTAGACCACTTTTTAAAATGTTTATTGGTATTGTTTATTTCTGCCTGCAAGGTCAGACGCATTTTTTTACCATGAATTCCACTGTACAAGCTGTTTAAGAAAAGGAAATTATAATGAATATTAGAGCAATCTAAGTAAAATCTAAAGTAGCAGTACTACTAATACCTCTTTTATAATTATTATCTGGTGGCATATGGGTCAACTCAGGCCTAGGTGCAGCTCTGGGGCCATGTGATGGGGCTCTGTAAGTCATATTTTTGACACCCCTGGTCTAGTGGTGTAAAATGAAACGAGTCAGATTCCCAGCATAATATTTGTTGTTGTTATGTGAATTTTAAAAATCTGATATCCAGGGCCAGAATCAGTGTTGGTTCCTGCTGGCAGAAGGGAAATATTTCTGCATCAGTTGTCTAAAATTCCCATATTTAGTACTGTGCAATTGGAGATTCTAAGAATGATTCTAGACTGAGCATTGCTGAGTCCCACTCTGAGGTTGAGAGAGAAATGCTTCTCAGGTAGGGTTTCTTTAAAAGATGACTGAAGCTACTCAGATTAAGAAGGTGAAAGTTTTCCTTGTGCATGTACACACTGGTCCTGTCTGGATAACTGCTAATGTTGTTTATGTTGTAAATGCATGCATTTTGGCCAGTTATGCCAGTTCCAGTGATTTAATAGCTGTTCTGTTGCTTGTGCGAAATACATTGAGGTTTTCAGTTCAGCTGCCATTATTTATTATTGGTAACATGCCCCCTGCTGTGCTAATGGACATCTCATAAAAACGGTAATCACAGTGGACTTTAATTGTTCCCTGGTTGGCAAACTTAACAGATGGGTTCAATTACTGAAGAGGCATCAGAAACTTTCCCACCCACTCCAGGAGAGGACTGAGGAAGAAGTGTGTGGGTAGAGACTGCCCTTGCTGTAAACTCCTTTAAGAGTAGTGGATTTCAACCTTGAGGACTGTCAGGCATTTTTTTATTAGCATGAAATTTGCTCAGTATTTTTTCATAAAGTTGATATTGGTTAAAAAGCACCAGTCTGCTTGCCACAGAGATTGTTTCACTTTATTCATACGGTAGAGGCAGTGCCAGCTTTCAGATCTTGAGGTAGTCTCTTTGCTGTAGGAGCCACCTACAGAGTCAAAAGTGGGGTTTGGTCTCCATGCAGTTTTCCATATTTGGACTTCTCTACCGAGGCTACTGAAAGCAGCATAGTTTGTGCTATGTGATGGTGGGTTGTGTAATGTGGCTATTTCTACACTTGGTACTGGAGCAGAACCCCAGCTTATTTTGCAGAAGTGGTCAGCTCACATATACGATTGCCATTTTTCAGCCATTATTTGTTACATGTATTGCTTGAAGTACCCATCACTAGGATCTGACATTTAATATAATGGAATCTTGGATAGAGTTGGCATGGACAAGATAATACTCATTTTAAGTAGTTGACTCGTAATGTTTTTATACCTTCCGAATTCTTTAACTTGTCGTTTCCAATCCTTTTTTTCTTCCAGGAATATATTCTCAAGGGGGTAGTGAATGCAGCCCTGGGACAAGAAGTGGGCTCAGTAAGTAAAACTCCTCAGGTGTTCCATCACTGAAGTGG